TTATGTGAATGTATGTCCTCATTTCTCTTGGGTATATACCTAAGAGAGGTATTGCGGGATCATAAGGTAACTCTGCGTAACATTTTGAGGGACTCCCAAACTGTTTTCCAGAGTGAGTTAAACTGTTTTACATTCTGATCTGCAGTGTGGGAAGCTTTCAATTTCTGTACAGTCTCATCAACACTTATTATCTATCTTTTGTATTTTAGCCATCCTAATGGGTGTAGAGTGTTATCTCATTGTGATGGTTATTGATTTGCATTTCCCTGATGATGTTGAGTCAGGTTTGGTTTTGCACACATAAATGCTAGGGGAGGCTTCTAAACCATAGGTAGGCTAGGTTGAAGATTATTATGATCCCAACTTACGTTGATTTCCCAATTACGGTGTATTGTGATTCTTACCTCCAGATCAGGTAACTTAGCAAATTTTTAATGAAGTCTTATGTTCACATGCCCAATATACAACAAAATTCCCTTTCTCTTTCTGGGTTGCTATTTCTTGGTGTTGATTCCAACTGAGAGTGTTGTAATTAAGCCTTATAATAGAAAAATGTCAAAATTTGACGCCTGGTTGAAAGTATTCTGAAGATGTTGACATTGAGCTTTAAGTAATAGGTTTGTAATAAGTTTATATGAGAGTAACCACAGGAAGCATGCTTAAATAAATGGAAGGAAGGGAGTTGATTAGGTCAGCAGTGGTGATCAGAAATATTTTCTGGATCTGAGCCCAAAAGGATATTTAAACTTTGATTCCTTTGAATTGTCTTTATTAATAACTCTGATTCTGAAAGGAAGATGGTCACATTTCAATGGTAGCCTTAATTTTAGCAGCCAGTAAAACAGATAAAATCTGTTATGGTTTAATGGATCAGATACAGTAGTAGAGAGGCAACCCAGGTTTTAGTTAGGTTTCAGTTACTGGCAGTATAGCCAGTAATTAGAAGTGTTCTGGTTTGAGTGCTTTAATTACATAAATCTACTCTGGAAGGATTTGCTGAAGTGCTGAATAAATAATTTCTACATCTGCAGATAAAAGTGATAATATTATAAAATTTCATTTTTTGTGGTTACCTATAATAATGTGTAGCTGGTGTTAGCATAGATTTAGGCTAAGACATTCATAATTGTGATTGTTTACAACATTGTAAGGAACTGTGTGTGATTCATGACAGGGGTGAGGGTACATTGAGAGCATATTTGAACCCTAGGAATTTATAAGGTATATTCCCTGCTCCTGGACAGTAAGACTATATAGGTACCATACTTGGTTAGTGATGTTTAAAAAAAATTTTTTTTTGGTTGTAAAGAGCAAAGTGTAAAACACAAAACTATGAAACTCCTAGAAGAGAACATCAGAGAAAATGTAGATGGCCTTGGGTGTGGTGGTGACTTTAGGTATGACACCAGAAGTGCCCCATGAAAAACAGTTGATAGGTTGCACTTCCCTGATGAAATTAAAATTAAAAAATTAAAAACTGTGAAAGTTTGTCAAGCAAATGAGAAGATAAGTCACAGACTGGGAGAAAATATTTACAAAAGACACATCTGATAAAGGATTGTTATCTAAAATGTAGAAAACTTTTAAAACTCAGCAGTAAGAAAACAACCTGATTTTTTGAATGTGCAGGGGGTGCCTGGGTAGGCTCAGTCAGTGAAGCATCCGACTCTTGATACTGGCTCAGGTCATGATCTCATGGTTGGTGAGTTTTAGCCCCGCATTGCCGCAGAGCCTGCTTGGGATTTTCTCTCTCCCCCTCTCTCTGCCCCTCCCCCACTTCAGTGGGTGCTCTCTCTCTCTCCCTCCCTCCCTCCCTCCCTCCCCCCCCCCCAAAATAAATATTTTAAAAAATGTGTAGGGGTACCTGGGTGGCTCAGTTGGCTGAGCATCCGACTTCAGCTCAGGTCATGATCTTGTGGTACGTGGGTTTGAACCCCACATTGGGCTCTGTGCTGACAGCTCGGAGCCTGGAGCCTGCTTTGGATTCTGTGTCTCCCTCTGTCTCTGCCCTCCCCCCACACTCGTGCTCTGCCCCCTCCCTTCAAAAATAAATAAACAATAAAAATGTTTTTTAATATGTAAAAGACATGAATAAATGCCTCACTGAAGAAGATATACAGATAGCATATGTATATCATATATATGTATATATGTATATACATGTATGTATATCATATATATGTATACATGTATATACATGTATGTATATCATATATATATGTCATATATATGATACATATATCATATATATGTTCCCTATATGTTATTAGGGAATTGCAAATTAAAACAATGAGATACCATTATATACCTAGTGGAATGGCCAAAATCTAAAACGCTGACAACCCCAAATGCTGACAAGGATGTGGAGCAACAGGAACTCGCATTTATTGCTGGTGGGAATGCATAATGGTACAGCCACTTTGGAAGACAGTTGGTAGTTTCTTACATAGTTAAACATACTCTTACCATATCATCCAACAATCAGAGTCCTTGGTGTTTACCCAAGTAAATTAAAAACGTATGCCCACACAGAAACATGCACTGGGATGTTTATAGCGGCTTTAATAATTTAATAATTTACTAATTTAATAATTGCCCAAACTTGGAAGCAACTAAGATATTCTTCAGTAGGTGAATGGATAAACTGTGGTACATTCACACAATGGAATATCGTTCAGCCCTAAGAAAACATGAGCTATCAAGCCATGAGAAGACATACAGGAATCTTATATGCATATTACTTAGTGAAAGAAGTCAATATGAAAAGGCTACATACTCTGTGATTCTAACTACATGACGTTCTGGGAAGGTCAGAACTATGGAGACAGTAAGAAGATCAGTGGTTTCCAGGGATGAGCAAGGAGGGAAGGATAAATAGAGCACAGAGGATTTGTAGGGCATTCACACTACTTTGTATGGTACTCAGGTGTTGGATACATGTCATCATACATTTGTCCAGTCCCATTAAAATGTACAAAATCAAGAGTGAAACCTTAAGTAAACTATGACTTTGGTAGGTTTATTGACTGTAACAAATGTACCACTGTGCTGGAGGAGGTTGTACTTGAGTAGTACTTGAGTAGGGACAGGGAACTCTCTTTACTTTCTGCTCATTTTAGCATGAACCTAAAACGGCTCTAAAATAAAAAGTTTTATTAATTTCTTTCTTAAAAAAAAAAAGTGGTTGTAGAGCTATTTGGCTTTTCAAATATTTGAGTTCCTGCTTTGTGCTGTGCTGCATAATGCCTTCTGAGAGGTCATAGCCCAGTGGAAAAGTTCAGAATCTAATGGACTCTTCAGAAATCTTGAAAAAACAGTGGTTTCTGTTCTGGGCATAGTGGAATTTCTGATTTTCAGACCTAACTCTGCCATGCTTTCTGTCTTGAAGTCTTTCGGAACTTATAGTTTGGCCGGGTGTTACATACGTATATACTTGACAAATTCATACCTCTTCAGAAAATGAGATAGTTTAAGTTTTGTCCTTTATTGATGCTAGAAGATAGGCATTGAATAGAGAAGTAAGTAAATAGAAATGTGATTTGCTATTTTGAGAGGATTGTTGTGTTTATTGTTCGTGTGTGTTCTTATTTTTTAGTACCAGGTACCATGATTAAAGACAATCATAATTTCTTTTTTAGGCATCTGAAAATTAGTGGTTTGGGCTCTAAACCTGTTGTTTATCTGAGAAAGTCATATGTTATACATTATTTGGTCTTTTCTTGGCAAGGATAATTATGCTTGCTCATATTTGGGTTTTGTGCATACTAAGAGGACTTTTTAAAAACTTAATTTACTCTGAATAAGGAATATAATCACATGGTTCTGAAATTAAAGTTTGCATTGAACAGCCTGTTTCTACTCTGTCCTTGTCTTCCTTTCCCACAGCTTCTGTAGATGACCACTCTGTTTGCTGATCGTTCAGTGCTGTTTTTAAAAGCAAATACATTATTTTAGGAAGTTGGCTTTTTACTAGAAAGATGATATGGCTTATCATTCATAATCTGTTGCTTACTTAAAGAGCATGTCAGTACTTTCATAAGGATAAGGGTAAAAGTGGCAATCCCCATAACCAACCCTTGGTGTGGCTGATAAACCACCCGGAGATTACTTAGGAACTCCTTAACTCATCCTGAAAGGTAAATGGTGCAGGGGAGGCCAGAACCAAAATATTAGGTAACATTTATTGACAGCTTAATGTATATTATGCCAAGTTTACAAACTCTATGAAAAAGCATGTACACTTAGCATTCCCATTTTATAGATAAGTAAGTTGAGACTCTAGAGAGGTTAAGAAATTTAATTTAGCCCATGTAATTAATTAGTGACAGAATTCAAAGCTAAACTTTTTTTTAAATGATGAGCATTATCAAACATACAGAAAAGTAGAGAAAAAATAGTTTAATGAAATCCTGTGTACCCATCACTGAGATTCAGTCGTTGTTAACATTTTACATTTGCTTGATCTGTCGTTTTTTCCTTTATTTCTTAAGTATTTTGAAACAAGTCCTGAATGTTATGTGAATTTGCTCCTGTGTACTAAAGCATACATCTCTAAAAAATATAGATTCTTTCTTAAATTGTGACAGTGCCATTTATTACACACCTCCAAGTAGCTAGAATGGTAAAGAAGTTGGCCCTGTGACCAAGGCCATCAATCAATTCAGCCTAAAGAGAACTCTCAGCAGTTTGGTTATGAAAGGGTGGTTTATTTTATGCAAGTGGTGGTGGTTCACAAGGACAGTGTGACTGACCCTTGCTGAGCTAGATAAAGGCTGGAGAGGCCCGTGGCAGCTGATAGTGAAGTGTGCCTTTAGGCTGAGTTCCAGTCCCCTTCTCTAACCACCAGCTGTAATCGACATAAAAACTTAGGTTTTTAAATTAATTATTCTGAGAGCTAAATGAAGCTATGAGCTTTAAATAGATTTTGCATTGGCTTTTGATGTGTGGTAGAATCTCTTCTGATGGACTCATAGCATTGAACTTGCACTTCTTGTTTAAAGGTCTTTGATTTGCGTCAGTGTCATCGGCAGATGCAGCAGCAGGCGGCCACTGCTCAAGCTGCAGCCGCTGCGCAGGCCGCCGCCGTGGCAGGAAACATCCCTGGCCCTGGATCAGTAGGTGGAATAGCTCCAGCTATCAGTAAGTATGCTTTTGATACTTTGTTGTCAAGTGTAGTAGTTGGCACTTTATCTTGATTCACTCAGCTGATTAGTTACTTCAGGCAATAATGGAAACTAAAGTGTTCTTTTACTGGGATGATAACATTTTTGAATTAGCAAAAAACTGTTTTTCTGTAATAGTTGTCCTTTGTCTAGGACACTGTCTTCATTCTTTTTGTATCAAAAAGGGAGTATGGGATAAAGGAGAAAGGGGGTCATTGTTAGATTATATTGATCAATCTCCTGTTTTTTTGTTGATGCTTTTAATTCCTGCCTCACCAGCAAGGGTGGGTTGTAATCACCAATGTGCTTGGCTTTATTCTAGAAGGAGAGCATATTTCAAGTTCAGAATTAGGTACCTCTCCAAATTTTTTTTTAAGTACGCTAAGCATGGAGAGAAAACTTACGTGAGGGTGGTATTTTGATAACTTGTAGACTTTTTTTTAATTTTAGGGTAAAATTGAACTGTGTGCCAGGTTTCACACTGATGGGGAATTTTTTACTGCAGAGTTAAACTCCTGACTATAGACTTTTATGATGGAAACACGTGGCACCCATCTTCCACGTCTGAAGGCATAACTAGTGATTCATTCAACCCCTGTTCTTAACCTCTTCAGTGTGGTAAGCAAATCACACTGGCTAAGAAACTGCAGCGGCCCTGCAGGTTTCTGTACAGCACATGCAGACTCCTCCCACTAGTTTCACTGTGATATTGATGAATGGAGACTGACTATATGACTGTATGTTCTGACTGGAAAATTAGATGCAGAATCTCCTTTGTGACTTATGTTCAGGAGTTTACAGTGTAGAGGTAGATGAGGCATATTCCCTTAGAGAATTTGACTTTTTAAAAAAGTTGAGCACCTAAACCATTAATTTGCTAGTGTTGATGTTACAAACATGCTTTTACTAAAGAGGCCAGAATTATTATTAAATTTCTCATTCTTGTCTACTGCCCCCATTGAGTAATTGCACGGTACCTCTGTTACACTGTGAAATTGAGAGACAGACATCATCTGGGTCATCCAAGAAGTCTTAGTGGAACCAGGACTATTAACTGTCTCATTATTAGTCATGTCTTTCATTGAACCAGGCTGTTTAGACAGACAGTAAGGTTCTTAGAACCAACCTGTGGACATGTGCTACCTCTTAAAAGCAAGTTATTTTTTCACCTTCACCTCTCCTTCTAAAGAGAAAAATAGGTGGGGTGTTGGTGGATTGTGGTAATTTACTTTATAATTGCTGGTAGCTAGAAGACTCCTGTGGAATGTGAATTGTCTTAACCAAAAGTTTTCAGTCCCTGTTGATAAAGCGTAGATCTACACTTAACTTCTTGGCACCTTGACAGAGAAGTTATATGCTGGGGAGAATGAAGTAAAGAAAGCTGGTCACTTTATTGATAAGGTGTAGGGAGGATGGAAGAGATCAGCCTGTCCCTCTGACGTCTTCCAAATCTTTTCTGTTAGGTTTGTCAGCTGCTGCCGGCATTGGTGTCGATGACCTTCGCCGTTTGTGCATACTCAGGATGAGTTTTGTGAAGGGCTGGGGACCGGATTACCCAAGACAGAGCATCAAAGAAACGCCTTGCTGGATCGAGATCCACTTACACCGGGCCCTCCAACTCTTAGATGAAGTGCTTCATACCATGCCTATTGCTGACCCACAGCCTTTAGACTGAGGTCTTTCAGTGTTGGGGCCCTTAACATTGTCAGGATGGTGGACTATAAAATACAATCCTGTTTATAATCTGAAGATATATTTCACTTTTGTTCTGCTTTTTTCATAAAGGGTTGAAAAGTGTGTTTGCTGCCTTGCTCCTAGCAGACAGAAACTGGATTAAAACAATTTTTTTTCCTACTTAGAACTTTTCAGGCATGGCTCAGAGCTTGAAGATCAGGAAAAACACATTCTTATTAAATCTTTACCAGTTATGTATGAAGGAATCATTCCAGTGCTGGAAAATTTAGCCCTTTAAAATGTCTTAGAGCCTTTTATATGCAGAACATTGATACATGTGTTATTCTACAGAATAAATTCAATATTGCTGATTTTAAAGAAGTTCTCAAAGTTAATTCACCTATGTTATTTTGTGTGCAAGTTGTTATTATTGAACATACTTTACTCCAAAATATTGTGCCATGTGGGTGAGTTAATTTTACCAAGAGCAACTTCACTCTGTGTTTAAAAAATAAGATAGTAATGTATTATATAACCTTTTATCCAAAATATTTTTTTGCAAGTTAAAACGAGTGAAGACGATTTCAATTCAGATGGTCTTGCAACTTCAGTTTTATTTTTGCCAAGGCAAAACACTAATCTGTGTGTATACTGGGAATTCCTTAAAATCACCCACAAAAATACACCATTTAAAATTTACACTTGTTATCCCTGTTCAGGGTAACTATTTGTCAAGAAATATTCTTTTGCCCTGTTATACAGTAGATATATTCTTTTATATTTCTAGGCACAAGGTGGTCACTACGGAGCCTAGAAGAGGAATTTCTTTCCTTCATTAATTCATAAGGAAAGGTTTTGTATTTTTAAAAACACTAAAGGCAGTGTCACTTCACCTAATATCTCACCATTCTGCAAAAGTGGCAATGCTTAAACTAAGTGAGTATTTTGGAAACTGCTAAATTCTATGTTAAATACTGTGCAGAATAATGGAAACATTACAGTTCATAATAGCTAGTTTGGATATTTTTGTACTTGATTTGATGTGTGACTTTTTTTTTTTCGTATACTGTTTAAATCATGTATGTTTTGACATTGTTTAAAATTCAGTTTTTGTATCTTGGGGCAAGACTGCAAACTTTTTTATACCTTTTGGTTATTCTAAGCCCTTTGCCATCAATGATCATATTAATTGGCAGTGACTTTGTATAGAGAATTTAAGTAGAAAAGTTGCAAATGTATTGACTGTACCACAGACACAATATGTATGCTTTTTACTTAGCTAGTAGCCTAAATAAAACCGAATCTCAACATACAAAGTTGAATTCTAGGTTTGATTTTTAAGTTTTGTTTTCTTTTGCACTTTTGAGTTGAACCTCAGAAGCAAGATACCTTCTACTAAATGACAGGCAACAGCCAGTGCTATTGGACAGCTTTGGTTTCCCTCACACTCTGCCAGGACTTCCCCACAGACATTATGTATCGAGTGTAGAGTTGGTTGGGGTTTTTTTGTTTTGTTTTGTTTTATTTTGTTTTAGCTTTTATTTTACTGTAGCAAAATAGGCCTGATTGTCTACAAGGTAAATAGGTTGTCTACAGGATAAAATAGTGTGAAATAAAACCAAGGATTATCTTTCAGATGCTTTTATGTTTTGCTTGGAGGGCCTTCTTAGGTGTAATAAGATTCTTGAAGGTGTGTTACAAGTATGAGATTTGAGCAACACTTAGAATAGTCATCCTTAAATGACTTAAACGAATAAGTCTTCTACTTCCTTGCTCCGAAGGTCATCTTCAGAAGACCATCCTAGGAGAACCACTGAGTTTGCTTATTGTGATTTAAACATAGATCTGGATCCAAGCTACATGTTTTTTTTTTTTTGTTTTGTTTTAAAATATTTTCTCTGCCAAGCTCATTTGAACTCTTGAGTACTTACGGATACTTTTGTTAAAGACCAAATTTTAATCTGTAAAAGTTTGGTGATTTAAGTTTTATTGGCAGATTTTTTAAAAAAAGATCATCTTCATTCTCTAGAAATTGCTGACTTTAGGTCCATTTTACTGTGAATGAAGAATAGGAGTGATGAGAGATTTTTTAAATCCAGATTATTTGATTAGGATCATTTGATTAGCATGCTGTGATACAATCCGTTGCCTCCTTTTCTCCTTTAAGGAAGGTTTTCATGTTTAATCGTCTGGGGAAAGTGTGTGGAAATATTTGCTAAAAAGTCTTTCTTTGAGGCCAAGCCACCTGTCTTGGTTTCTTTCTACTAAGAGCCATAATGTTAACTACCAGTATGTAGCATTACTTCTAGTTGTTAATTGCTTTATGTTTGTACCTAGATTCAGTCTTATGCTTCTGAGAAAACATCTAGTATGTTCATGATCAGTTATTTTTGAGAGCTTAGTTGTTAAACAGTATTTCCATTTCTTAGAGATAGTCATCTTTGATGAGTAAGACTCAAGAATCACTAGGTTTAAAATTTTATGGCTACTTTAGGGTAGAATAGTTTCTGCAGTTCTCAGAATCTGATTATTTTGAGGATATGGTTCCGGGTAGATTTTCTCCAGCTATTTCATATCTCAAAATGTTGAGCTTCAGTGCAAGCTGAATTGAGAGTTGAACCAAGTACCCTTCTAATCCAGTATGAGGCCATTCCACTTTGGCCCAGTGCCTTTCAGTGCGTTATCAAAGGGAATCCTAAAATGGTGTTGCCTTTATTTTCCAGGGAGTAGATTCTTTTGAGGGATATGCCCTATCTCATTTTTTATAGTGTGCTACCCCTGGTATACAAAGATAATGATAATAAATCACTGCCATATAACCTTGTTTTTCTAGAAACACTGCTCATTTGTATTGACCTACCCACCAAATAGGTCTCTTGTCCCATCCTTCCTGTAGTCATTGTAGGTTCACAGGTTGGGTGGTCTAGTTTAAGGATTACCATCCTCGAATTATCCAAGGAAACTGAATACATGTTAGCTGTGTTGTATTTCAAAGTTAAAAATCCATTTTTGTGGGGGAAGGGTGTGGTATAAAGGGGGGTATTTGTAATAGAAATTTTGAAGGTAAAATAAAATATCCTGTCTTCCAGATGGTAAACATCTTACTTTTACAAGTTTATTGCAGGTATCTTTTTGACTATGCCCATCTGGAAAAGGGAAATTTTACATTGTCCCATGGTGCTCCTCATGCATAGGTTAAGGAATATAAGGTGAAATATTTCTACTCGTGGTTTGGTGGTAACTGGTTAATAGTTACTCACTAGCTATTATGCAAAATTAGATTAGTTCAGATCTTTTTTAGAGCCTTTTGGAAGAAGCAGTTTTATTCTGACTAGGGCAGAATCCTTTTTGGTGATAGTTTCTATAGTTCTCCTCATCATTAAGTCATTTTACTGGCATTTTATTTAACGCTAGCAGATTGGGAAGATGATGAATTTTAGGTTACTGAGGTAAATGAGTATATGAAAGCAATTATCTGCAAAATCACTTAACTTTTTTGTAGAGGGGGCTTGGCTAAGACTAGCAGATAATAGCATGAAGAAATGCTGTTTTTTTCTTCCAGTTTTCAAAACTCCTTACTACACTATTTCGCTTGATCTTTATAGTAACTCTGTGAGAGGGGGTTAGAGGGAAGGAAATGCTTTTTTTTTCTTTCTAAAGGCAGACCTCATCTTGTCACAGGTAGCTCTCTGTGAATAGTTGCCTAAATTCTGCTTTGCAAAGATTACAGAAAAGAGGCTCTGAGAATCTTTTGTGCAAGCCTTTCCATTTTTTTCTGACAACTAGGTAACTTCTCCCAGGATGTATCAGGAAGGATGTATATGGTTAGTGGCCGCATTCACAGAAGCATCCTCGGTTTGGCCTTGTCCCTAAGCACTTGTGCCAGTGCTTCCAGCTGTTGATCTTGTTTATCTGCTGTCACTGTGGAGTGGAATTTTCTGCATTACCCAGACTTGCTTTATTTAAGCAGTAAGCCTTTTTATTTTAGCCATTTTGGGGATGGAGTTACTAATGTGTATATCAGAGAACAAACTAGATACAGTGTTTTTTTGTGTGTGCCAACCTGTCTTTGGATGTCAGGGGCTGCTAAGGTTTTGCAGACTGCTATGGTTTTGAATGTTTACCTTTTTTCTTTTTTACACAGTGCCTTTCAGTATTCTCCCTTTCTGAGAGGTCACTTCGTGTGTAGCTCCCCTTGTAGTTTCTTCTTCGCTTTCTGATTTGTTTTTCCAACTGCTTGGGCAAGAAACCCAGATAACCAGACTTAGAACTGCCTTTAAAACACAAGGACAAATTGGGACAGGTCCCAAGAAGCTTTCCTGTAAAGTATTGAAAAGGCCTTCAGTGCTTTGGTGTCTGACATCTGTTTGACTGCTTAGAATGATTCCTGATTCTTTGCTGAGTTCAGGTAGTTGAAATAGGGAGAAGTGGGTCAGATTCATATTTTCTGCCTTTGAAAGATTTTGAAAGATTTTGTTGCTTCCATCTCAGTGCTGCTCGTACAAAAACTGGGGTTACAGGGGTTACTAAATTATCATCAGTAGTCAGAGGCATGCCTTGCCTAGAGGATACCAGCAAAAAAAAAAAAATAAATAAAAAAATCCTAAATGAACAACAAAAAACAAACCTTAGGAAATGAGAGGGTTGTTTTTGTTTTGTTTTGGTGTCCCCTTTTGAGTCCTATCTTGGGGCTTTCCTCCTCTACAGATATTTTTGACCTTTAGGTGCCTTTATGAGAATTGAGGGTCTGATATCCTGCCCCAAGGAGTAGCTAAAGTAATTGCTAATGTTTTCAGGGATTTTAACATCAGACTTGAATGAATGAATGAAGCATTTTCCTCCCTGCCCCCTCTCCCTCCCACCCTCCT